GATCGCGCCCTGGGCCAAAGGCAGGCGCCAAACCGCTGCGCCACCCAGGGATCCCCTGGTCCTCTCTTTAAAAGGAAAAGTCCAAAAAAAAAAAAAAAAAAGATGAAAGGAAGAAGAAGAAAGAAAAAAGAAGAAAGAAAGAAAGAAAGAAAGAAAGAAAGAAAGAAAGAAAGAAAGAAAAAGAAAGAAAGAAAGAAAGAAAGAAGAAAGAAAGAAAGAAAGAAAGAAAGAAAGAAAGAAAGAAAGAAGAAAGAAAGAAAGAAAGAAAGAAAGAAAGAAAAAGAAAAGAGTCCTTGGGGCACCTGGCTGGTTCAGTCAGTAGTGCTTGGGACTCGATCTCAGGTCCTGCGTTCAAGCCCCACTTTGGGCTTAGAGATTTTTTTTTTCTTTTAAGATTTTATTTATTTATTCATGAGAGAATGAGAGAGAGGGGCAGAGACACAGGCAGAGGGAGAAGCAGGCTCCATGCAGAGAACCTGATGTGGGACGCGATCGGGGTCTCCAGGATCACGCCCTGGGCTGAAGGTGGCGCTAAACGGCTGAGCCACGCAGGCTGTCTGAGCTTAGAGATTTTTAAAAAATTTTGTTTAATTAAAGAAATAAAAGGAAAAGTCCCTGAGAAGACTAACCTTGGTCTTGCTCACTGCTTTTTCTCAGCCCCAGAGGCCTAGCTCATAAAATACACTCAACAAGCATTTGTCGAATGAATGAATTCCTCAAACTCCAAAACGTGTACCTTGATTAAATTTTAAAGTGTACCTCTTCGAAGAAGATGCAAGGTATCTATGAGGCCCTCTTAAAAGTGCAACAGACAAGGTGATGTGTCTGGAGGAGGTGGTGCTCTACACCTTTCGGCTCCAAAGCCCAGGCTCTTTTCCAGACTGCATCACCCGTGCATCTGCTCTGCTGGACAGAAATTGAGTCGTGGGGGTGCCATCTTGGGGGAGGGAGCCAGCTGTCATTGCCGCAGCTGAGGCCTGCAATCCCAGACCTCTACCTTGTTTGGGAGGCTGCTATTTGCATGTGAGCTTGGCTTCCCCAGGCGAGACTGGGGTTTATCACTGGTCACTAGCCACTGGGTATCCCAGCTTGACTGCCTGGAGTCGGAGAGACCCAGGGAGGAAGGGCACCGGGCCCAGAGCTGGCTGTGGGGGTAGGGCGGGGACTGTTGGGCCTCTGAGTCCACAGAAGCACCAGAATGCCCCAGCCTGCCTAAGCCTTCTGCTCCTGGGCAGCCCCGGTGGCGCAGCGGTTTAGTGCCGCCTGCAGCAGCCCAGGGTGTGATCCTGGAGACCCATGACGAGTCCCACGTCAGGCTCCCTGCATGGAGCCTGCTTCTCCCTCTGCCTGTGTCTCTCTCTGCCTCTCTGTCTCTCTCTCTGAATAAATAAATCTTAAAAAAAAAAAAAAGAAATCAAAAAAAAAAAAAAAAAAAAAGCCTTCTGCTCCTGAACTCTGGAATCCACTCATCAGCCTGAGCCTTGACTTCAGCCTTTGCATCCACATCTCCCAGGAATTATACTTAATGTTTGCCCTGGGCAAGGCCAGGACACTTCAGCCTCTTTTAGTGAGTCCTCCACTCACCTAGGTCAATTTACCTGCCTGCCTGATCTTAAACTCAGGAAAGAAAGTTTGGTGCTCGTTTTGTTTACTACAATCCTAGGCACACAGCAAAGGGTAGGATCCTCAGCCCTTCCGGAGTCCTGACTTCAAAGCCTGAGGACCTTGTGCCTGTGGTCAGTGACTTCACCTTTCTGAATTTCATTATCATTTCCATTATGGGAAAATAATAGATGTTTGGAAGGATTAAATGAGACCACAGAAACCCCAGTCATCATGCTCCATAGTAACCTCTGCTTTCACTTTCTCTGTGGCACTGGTCACCATCTATCATATATTTTATTTATTGGTTGTTCTTCTCCTCCCACTAGGGTGACAACCCCACCAAGCAACAATTTTAATTATTTTTGTCCACCCCTGTCACTTCACACACATGTCAAATAGCGCTGGGCCCATGAGATCTTTTTTTTTTTTTTTTTTTTTAAGATTTTAATTATTCGGGATCCCTGGGTGGCTCAGCGGTTTGGCACCTGTCTTTGGCCCAGGGCGCAATCCTGGAGTCCCGGGATCGAGTCCCATGTCAGGCTCCCGGCGTGGAGCCTGCTTCTCCCTCCTCCTGTGTCTTTGCCTCTCTCTCTCTCTCTCTCTCTCTCTGTGTGTGTGTGTGTCTATCATGAATAAATAAATACATAAATCTTTTAAAAAAAGATTTTATTCATGAGAGATACAGAGAGAGGCAGAGACATAGGCAGAGGGAGAAGCAGGCTCCCTTCGGGGAGCCCCTTATGATACTCCAGCTCAGGACCCAGGATCACAACCTGAGCCAAAGGCAGAGGTTCAACCACTAAGTCTCCCAGGTGCCCCAGCCCATGAGGTTCTCAATAAATATTTGTTGAATAAAGATGGATGGATGTAGGGGATCCCTGGGTGGCGCAGCGGTTTGGCGCCTGCCTTTGGCCCAGGGCGCGATCCTGGAGACCCGGGATCGAGTCCCACGTCAGGCTCCCGGTGCATGGAGCCTGCTTCTCCCTCTGCCTGTGTCTCTGCCTCTCTCTCTCTCTCTCTGTATGACTATCATAAATTTAAAAAATTAAAAAAAAATTAAAAAAAAAAGATGGATGGATGTAAAGTGATTAGCGCCCAATAAGTGCCCTGTAAAAGTAGATATTGCCAATTTATTATGATGATTAAGTGCTCAGTCTCTGGTATCTAACAGAAAGCAAGGTAATTGAGGCAGGAGAACTTTAGCATCATGGTAGGATGTTGGCACTCTGGCTGAAAAATTCTGTCTGCACCATTTACTAGCTGTGTAACAAGTGACTTCACTTTCCTAAGGCTGTTTCCTCATCTGTAAAATGGAGGTGATAATTGTGCCTCCCTAGGAGGACATGAAGATAGGATAAGATGGTAACTGCAAAACGTTTGTAGAGTGCCTAGCACATAATAAATGCTCCATAAACAATGCTCATCACTACTCATTATAGGAGTACTCACACTAGATGTGACATCTCAGTCCATTAAACCATTGCTAAGCACTAAATATGACCAGTTCCAGCAGGCTCAATAAATGTTTATTGACTTCCATCTGTGAGCTCCTCAGGGAAAGAGATTGTGTTTATGTTGTCATGGTTTTGGCCTGCAGTAGACATACTGAGATGTACTGGAAAACCCACATGCTGGACTCAAATATGAGTGAGAACACAGAATAGCTACTGGAAAAATAATGCCAGTAGCCTACTATGTGCCAGCCATAGAGTTGGATGCTGGAGATATGGCAATAAGCTTACACAAACATGGTGGCTACCAGTTTGAGGCCAGTGAAACTTAGCAGAGTTGACAGACTTTGTGCCAACAGTTGCACAGATAGATGGACCATTGCACCTAAAAAGTGTATCATAACAGAAAGGGATAAGAGGCTCTGAGACCTATAATGTGGGCATGGAGAGGATGGGGTTGACCTGATGTGGGCTTGAGGAGGAAGTCAAGGGAGTGGCTCTCAGCTTAGAGCTGAGCTTGGTGGAAAGAAGAGGTCTTAGCTAGGCTGAGGGTAGGGGAAGTGTTCTCAGCAGAAAAGAATAGCAGATGCAAAGGTCTCATGATGGGAGAGCACATGTGCTAAAGGAACTGAAAGAAGACCTGGATGACCCCAATGTAGTGTGCTGAGGGCAGGGGTCAGGGGAGAAATAAACTAGAAAATTAAGTTGGCACTTTGGAAATTAATTGGGCAATATATGGTAAAGCTGAAGGACTGTGCAGCCTTATGATCCAGCAGTCCGAGTTCTAGAAACATTCTAGAGAAACAGCCACAGTGCACAGGAGAGCATGAACAAGGATGTTAGCCCTAGTTGCCTCATATGAACTCTCAAAAAACCTGAAACAATCCAACTGTTCATCAAGAGGAGAATGGAAAAATTGCAGAATATATTTTCCCTGAGTTCCTCAGAAAACAGTTTGAATCAAAGGTTAGCGTAGTACTGCTTTATTGGGGAGTGCATCCCAAGGAAGCAAGAATGATAAAAGAGGGAGTGAGTCAGGGAAAGAGGGTGAGTCAGTACCACAATACCGAGGAAAGTCCATATATTCCTATAGCATCTTAGGAATAGTTCTTCAGGGGGGGATCCCTGGGTGGCTTAGTGGTTTAGCACCTGCCTTTGGCCCAGGGCGTGATCTTGGAGTCCCAGGATCAAGTCCCACATCGGGCTCCTTGCATGGAGCCTGCTTCTCCCTCTGCCTGTGTCTCTGCCTCTCTCTGTCTCTCTGTCTCTCTGTCTCTCTTTCTCTCTGTGTGTGTCTCTCATGAATAAATAAATAAAATCTTTAAAAAATAAAAAAACTAAAATAAAAAATAAAAAAATAAGAAGCCAGATTAACAATATATATAAAAAAGCAGTGGAATAATAATAAATAAATCGAAAGTTGAGGCAGGTAGTTGCTTCTGGGGAGTTAGGAGGAGGAGATTGTTAATGGGTCACTGGGAATTCCATAGGAAAATGCTGGTAATGTTGGGGGCTTTGTAGCTGCTACTGTGTTTTTGTTTTTGTTTTTAAAGATTTTATTTATTCATTCATGAGAGACACAGAGAGAGAGAGGCAGAGGGAGAAGCAGGCTCCACGCAGGGAGCCCGATGTGGGACTCGATCCCGGGACCCCAGGGCTGAAGGCGGCGCTAAACCACTGAGCCATCTGGGCTGCACTGCTACTGTGTTTTTGTTGTTTTTTAAATATGGAAGTCTTAGGACTCCTGGGTCGCTCAGTCAGTTAAGTGTCTGCCCTCAATTCAGGTCCTGATCTCAAGGTCCTGGGATCAAGCTCTGTGTCAGGCTCCCTGCTCAGCAGAGGTGTCTGCTTCTACCTCTCCTCCTGCTTGTGGGCACACATGCTCATTCTCTCTCTCTCAAATAAATAAAAATGAAATCTTTTTTATTTATTTAAAATAAATAAATAAATATGAAACTCTTCATAAATTTGCATATCATCTTTATGCAGGGACCATGCTAATCTCTGAATTGTCCCAATTTTAGTATATGTACTGCTGAAATGAGCAGGGTTGTTTTTTGTTTTTTGGGTTTTTTTTAAGATTTTATTTTTTATTCATGAGAGACACAGAGAGAGAGGGAGAAACATAGGCAGAGGGAGAAGCAGGCTCCACACAAGGAGCCTGATGTGGGACTTGGTCTCAGGAATCTGGGTTCATGTCCTGAGCCAAAGGCAGATGCTCAACCACTGAGCCACCTAGGCGTCCTGAGAGAGAGAATCTTAAGCAGGCTATATGCTCAGCACAGGGCTCTATCTCAGCACCCTGAAATCATGACCTGAGCTGAAATCAAGAATTGGACACTTGACTGACCAAGCCACCCAGGAGCCCCTAAAGATTATATTATATTATATTATATTATATTATATTATATTATATTATATCATATTTTTATTTTATTTTATTTATTTTTAGATTTTATTTATTTATTCATGAGAGACAGAGAGAGAGTCAGAGATATAGGCAGAGGGAGAACCAGGCTCCCTGGGAGGAGCCTGATGTGGGACTCGATCCCAGGACCCTGAGATCATGACCTGAGCCAAAGGCAGAAACTCAACCACTGAGCCACCCATTCGTCCCTAAAGATTTTATTTTTAAGTAGTCTCTACACCCAGCATGGGGCTTGAACCCACACTGAGATCAAGAGTCTCACACTCTACCAACCAGGCCAGCCAGGCTTCCCAATTTTTTTTTAAAGATGTTATTTATTTATTCATGAGAGACACAGAGAGAAAGGCAGCGACATAGGAAGAAGGAGAAGCAGGCTTCCTGTGGGGAGCCTGATGCAGGACTCAATTCCAGGACCCCAGGATCATGACCAGAGCCAAAGGCAGATGCTTAACCATTGAGCCACCCAGATGCCCCCAGGCTCCCCAATGTAAATCATTTTTAAGGGTACAGTGCAGTGGCATTAAGTGCATTCATTTTCATGTTGTGCAACCATGACTACTATCCAACTCCAGAACCTTTCTATCATCCTGATCTTAGTTAGCTCGAGCTACTGTAACAAAATATGTACACAGGGTGGCTTAAACAACAGGTGCTTATTACACTTCTGGAGGCTAGGAAGTTCAAGGTCAAGGTGATGACAGATTTGGTGTCCGGTGAGGGCCCTCTTCCTCATAGGTGGTCATGTCCTCACTGTAACCTCACATGAGGGAAGGGAGCTCTGTAGGGTCTGTTTTATAAAGGCACTAAACCCATCATGAGGGCCTCACTCTCCTGACTTCAATATAAACCTAATCACCTCCCAGAGGCTCCACCTCCAAATACCATTACGCTGGGGGTTAGGGCTTCAACTTACGAAGTTTGAGTTTTGGAAAACCATATCCAGCCTATGACAATACCAGACAGAAACTCCACACCTAATGAGTAAATAGTTCCCCCAAATTCCCTCTACAGCTGCCTCCTGCCTCTATTCTTCTATTTTCTGTTTCCATGAATATGCTACTCTAGGGACTGCATATAAGTGGAATAGATCATATTTGTCCTTTTGTGTCTGGCCTCTCTCACTTCACATAATGTCTCTAGTGTTCATTCATAGTATAGTGTGGATCAGAGTTTCCTTCCTTTTTAAGGCTAAATAATTCTTAGTATGGGGACATCTGAGTGGCTCAGTGGTTGAGAGTCTGCCTTTGGCTCAGGTTGTGATAGAGTCCTGCATCAGGCTCACCGCATGGAGCCTGCTTCTCCCTCTACCTATGTCTCTGCCTCTCTCTGTGTCTCTCATGAATAAATAACCAAAATCTTAAAAAAAAAAATGATTCATAGTATGTACATAGTACATTTGGTATTCCATTCCTCTGCTGATTGACATTTGGGTTGTTTCTACCTTTTGGCTATTGTGAATAAAGTTGCTATAAAAGTGGTGAATTTCTGTCTCTTAAGTTGATTATGATAATAATATGTAATTATTTTTAAACATATATACATATGTTTATTTCCTATTTTTAAAGCTTAGAACTGCATAATAATCTTTATTATTAAAATTGCTGGGGCACCTGGGTGGCTCAGTGGTTGAACATCTGCTTTCAGACCTAAATAAAAGATAATTAAGAAGTGAATTTTTTTATTAATTAAAAGTAAAGGATTGCACTTGGCTAGCTCAGTCGTACATAGAGCATGTGACTCTTCATCTCAGGGTCATGAGATCAAGTCCCATGTTGGGGTAAAGATTACTTAAGGAGAGAGAGAAGGATGGTGGTGATGGTTGTTGCATAACAGTTCAATGTACTTAATGCCATAGAACTGTACACTTTTTTTTTAAAGATTTTATTAATTTATTCATGAGAGACATACACACACACAGGCTCAGAGACACAGGCAGAGGGAGAAGCAGGCTCCATGCAGGGAGCCTGACATGGGACTTGATCCCAGGTCTCCAGGATCATGCCCTGGGCTGAAGGTGGCACTAAACCACTGAGCCACCCGGGCTGCCTGAACCATACACTTTAAAATAGTTAAAATGGGGGGTGGAGTGCCTCACTGGCTCAGGCATTAGAGCATGCAACTCTTGATCTCAGGGTCCTCAGTTTAATCCCCACTTTTGACATGTAGTCTACTTAAAAATTAAAATAATAAAGGGACACCTGGGTGGTTCAGTGGGTTAACCATCCAGCTTCTGATTTTGGCTCAGGTCATGATCTCAGGGTTGTGAGATCAAGCCCCATGTCCAGCTCTGCACTGGGCATGGATTCTGCTTGGGATTCTCTATCTTACCCTCTTTTTTTTAAAAAAAGATAAATACAATTAAAAAATAGTTAAAATTGTCATTTTATGTTGTATGTACTTTAAAACAATTTAAAAAGAAGGGAAGGAAGGAGGGAAGGAAAATATCAGATCAGGCAAAACCTCCAGACTGTGGTGAGCTTTGGAGTCTAAGAATTTCTACACATCACCTGATTTTTTTATAAGAATAGACTACAGGGCAGCCCAGGTGGCTCAGTGGGTGAGCGTCTGCCTTTGGCTCCAGTTGTGATCCCGGGGTCCTGGGATCAAGTCCCGTGTCGGGCTCCCTGCATGGAGCCTGCTTCTCCCTCTGCCTGTGTCTCTGCCTCTCTCTCTCTCTTTCTCTCTCTCTCTCTCTCCCTCTGTCTCTCATGAATAAATTAATAAAATCTAAAAAAAAAAAAAGAAGAAGAAGTCCAGTCAAAGGGTTATACAAAGGGAATAGGACCAAAGTCTTCATTTAAGCTGGAAGTCGGGCCAAATGGAGGGTAGGCAGCTTGTCAGAGCCTCCAGCTCCCATCCAGCAGCACCAGGGGTGGGACCTGGCTGTTACCCTCTTGCCTGGCATATGAGTGAAGGAACAACCATTGGCAGGAGAAGCAGCAGGAATCAGATAACAGGCAGTGACTGAGCATGTGCTCAGGTCCTTCCCAGTTGCCCAGGGTATGGAGAGGCAGGTGAGTGAGGGGCAAGTCTACCTGACCTTCAAAGAGCTGGTTCCCAGGTTAGAAGATAAGACTCTGAGCAAGGTACCTGCCAGTACAAGGTGATAAGGGGCCCCTCTGCCCTCTGAACACACCCACATTATTGCCTTATCTTTGTGTGTTAGAGTAATTTATTCACAGACCATTTTAGCAGGAAGACTAGGCGCTCCTTGAGGACATTCATTGATTCAGGCATTTATTGAACTACTCTGTACCTAGGCACTGATTTGAGACAGCTGGTATACAATAGAGGTTTGATAAATGTACGTGGCCTAGCATTCAGTAGACACCCAGTAAATGCTCTTTGTTTTTGTTGTTTGTTTGTTTGTTTTTGTTTTTTGTTTTTAGTAAATGCTCTTTGAATTGAATAAATAATGCATTAATAAATAACTTGCACCAGGCCTGGCACACTGCAGGTGTTTCAATAAATGTTGAATCGCGTGAAGGAAGGACTAGCACAGGGCCTGGCACACAGGAAGTACTCATTAAACGTTGCACCGTCCTGCCTGTCTGACCTACCTCCATCCTGAGCCTGAATCCTGGACATTGAAGCTCAGAGACCAGATTGGTTGTCCAGATCATCATCCATCCATGCAACCATTGAACAAGCATTTATCAAGGATCTACTGCTTACCAGTCACTGAGGAGGTAGCAGTGAACAAGGAAGGAAGGGTTCTTCTCTCATTTGCTCACTTTCTAATGGGGGAGAAAGACAGTTAATAAGCTAAAAAAAAAAACAACAAAACACCAGGTTGTAAGTAAATGCAGGTGACTTGAGAGACTGCAGGGAGAAGTGGGTAAGACAGGGAAAGACCTCTCTGAGAGGGCAACATTGGAGCTGACATCTGAAAGGGAAGAAGTAGCCAGCCCTGTGAAGATCTGGGGGAAGAGCATTTAGGCAGAAGGAACAGCATGTGCAGAGGCCTTCTGGCAAGAATGGAGTTGACCTCTGGAAAGAACAGTGAAAAGCAAGTTAGTTAGGGGAGAGCCTGAGAAAAATAGGAAGGGGCTAGATCAGATAAGGTGATCCCATTAAGGGTAAGGAGCTTGGGTTTTACTGGAGGGCTTTAAGCAGTGTGGAAGTCTGAATAAGGAACCTCAAAAGATGTCCACATTCTAACCCCTGGAACTTGTAACTATGTTACTGCATAGTTACTGCAGAAGAGGCTTTGCAGATGTGATCAAGACTGAGATTTTGAGATGGGGAGATTATCCCAGATTATCCAGATGGACCCAATATAAACACAGGAGATCTTATCAGAGGCAGACAGGAGGGTCAGAGGGAAAAGGAGATGTGGCAACAGAGGAGATTGGACAAATGTGCTTTGAAGAAGGAGGAAGAGGCCACAAGCCAAGGAATCCAGGCAGCCACTAGATGCTGGAAAAGGCAGGGAAATGCATTTGTCCTTAGAGCTTCCAGAAGGAACCAGCCTGCTAGTGCCTTAGTCTTAACCCCTCATGATTCATCTCACAGCTTCTAAACTGTGAGAAAATAAATTTGTATCATTTTAAGCCACGAAATTTGTGGTAATTTGTTGCAGCAGCAATAGGAAACTAATCAACCAGGCAAGGGACAGGA